TTCTATGAGAATTTTCCGGAAATATAAAAATAAATTTACGTAAAATCTCTACTTAATATTTAAATTTGTCTAAGATTTTGGCTTAAAGAAAATTTAAAAATATTTTTTAAACAAATATTTCATATTTAATAAATTAAAAGTGCAAATCGCAATAAATTAAAAGTGCAAAGTAATGAGAATTAAAATAAAAAATAAAAAATTGTACTTAAAATATTAAAAGTTTTACGTAAGCTTTAAGTACTTTTTTTATGAAAATCGTTAAGGGAAAATTAATTAACTAAAAAAATTTTTAGGTTTATTTCTTAAATTTTGATGAATTTAAAAAAATTAAAATTAATTTAAAAAAATTTTTGTAACTCAAAATTTTCAAATTTTAGTTCATTATACATACACAGTCAGACCTCACCACGAATTATAAGATACTCTCTCGTTAATGTACAATTTTTTAAAAAATAAATTAGCATTGGGTGGATGGCGAGCATATTGTACATTATAGTGTGGTATGATTATATTAATGTCTTCTGTTACGAAATCAAAATTTTATGTTTTTTTATTTAATACCAGAAATGTCAAAATTCTAGAAATTTTGATATTTCTAGAATTATTAAAAAATTTTAGTTCTTTTTTTGTGTCCTAATCTTATTCTTATAATTTAGAAATAATAAAAAAATCACTTTACAAAATTTAAATTAATTAAAAAAATTTCTATTGTCTTTTTTGTGTCCTAATTTTGACCAAATAATTAAAAAATAACTAAAAATTATTTTAAATTAAATAAATTTCTTTTATAAATTTTGCTTTTTTAATTTTTGTAATTTTAAAATACAAATTAAATTATCCAAAAAAAATCAAATTTATAATTAAATAAAAAATATTTATTTATGAGAATATTAATCGACTATATCTAAATTTAACAGAAATCAAAAATAACATTTGAACCAAAATTGAAATTTAATAAATAAATGCTATAATAAAAATTAAAAAATAAAGAAAGATTAAAATAAACAATTAAAATAAAAAATTAATTCTAGAAAATATTTAAAAATATTTTTAAAATATTTAAATTTCTTTTTGTTTTTCAAAAAATAAAATAAATTACAATATCCAATAAAAGGAAATTATAATGATCAAGTAACAGAGCCCGGATTTTTATGAAATAAATTTAACAAAAAACAGAAAGGATTTAAATGTGCGGAGATAAAATTTTTTTTAATTTCATTAATTTATTAGAAATTAAATTATTTTGTAAAAAATATTAAAAATATTTAGTAAAATTTTATTTAATATTTTTAAATTTTAATAGTATTTAAATAAGCTTTTGCGTAATAAAATGTGTCATCTGTCTACTCTAATATAATTTATTAATTAAATTTTTGTTTAAAAGATAAAAAAATACAAGATAAACATGAACTTTAAAAAGTGAAAGGACTCTAAACTTTTATTAAAAGTTAATTTTATATGGAAAGGACACGACAAAATTTCCACAAAAACTTAGAGATATGTCAGTCAAAATAGATTTTAATTAAATTAATTTTTAAATGATTAAGTAGTGTAAAGCAGGGATGGGCCGGGTTGAGAAAAAAGTCGGGTCGGGTTTTCAAAATTTTCTTCGGATCGGGTTTCGGGTCTCGGGTCGGGTTTCGGGTCGGGTCAGTTAAAAATTTGACCAAGTAGCCAAATTTTTCGTAGTGGTTGAAGGATATCAGTGATTTGCGGGATTAATAAGAGAATATATAAGAATGATATAATAAATAACAGGGATTAAATGGATTTGGATGGATTAAGAGTAATATCAGTGGATTTGTGGATTAAGACGGATATAAAGTCATTATAACCCGGCCCATCCCTGGTGTAAAGTATATAAATAGTAACTATTTAATTCCTACTGCTATGTCCAATGAATAACTAATTATTCTGGACATCCGAAGATGCTGGTTCGCTGTCAGAGCTAAATAACCTTTTATATTAGCCGAAGGAGCCAAGTTCAGCTTTACTGCAGTTTTTAATTTTTAAAATTAATTTTTTATCATTTCCATACTTTAATTAAACACAAGCAATATTTAAAAAAGAAAAGTTTTATCATGTTCAAAAATTAGGAAAAAACTTTAAAACAATAATTTTAATAATGAGATCGACTTGTTAACTAAATTAAGGATTCTATAATTACAGAAATATGTGTTAATCAATTCAATTATTTTAAGTTCAATAATTTTATTTCAAAATTTAGGAGAGGCAAAAGGGAAAACATTTATTGGATGTACTATATATCAGCAACGTCATTTCAACAGGAAATTATTTTCCTAAAGAATACTATTAAAAATAAACGTATAATTACGTATCAAGCTTACTTTAAGGTTTATTACTTCCAAAGAAAAGGAAATTAATCAGTGCTGGGTATGGCTCCGGAGCCGGCTCCGGCGGAGCCGGAGCCGGAGCCGGAGCTAAGATTTTGAAAACCCCGGAGCCGGAGCTGGAGCCGGAGCCAAGAATTTCAAACCCCGGAGCCCGGAGCCGGAGCCGGAGCCAAGGTTTTCCAATTCCCCACGGCTCCCGCTATACACCCCTAAAGATGGGTTAGAGAAAAAGAAGTAAGCAAAGATGGTAGGCGAGAAAAGAAAAGAAAGAGAAAATTGAGACGGGTAAAAAAGATTTGGCTCCTATACAACTCATCTAATCGTTAACTCATCTATTCGTTAACTCATCTACACGGCCAAAAAGGGATCAACTCATCTAATCGTTAACTCATCTATTCGTTAACTCATCTACACGGCCAAAAAGGGTTAACTCATCTAATCGTTAACTCATCTAATCCTTAACTCATCTACACGGCCAAAAAGGGTCAACTCATCCAATCCTTGGAAACGAGACTATTGAGTCTCCGGCCGGTTGAGTCCATGGCCAGTAGCAAATGGCCATGGACTCAACTGGTCATGGACTCAATTGGCCATGGACTCAACTGGCCATGGACTCAACTGGTCATGGACTCAACTGGCCATGGACTCAACTGGTCATGGACTCAACTGGCCATGGACTCAACTGGTCATGGACTCAATTGGTCATGGACTCAACTTACCAGAGACTCAAACGGCGAGAGACTCAAACGGCGAGAGACTCAAACGGCGAGAGACTCAGACGGCGAGAGACTCAAACGGCCGGAGACTCATATGGCCAAAGACTCAAACGGCCGGAGACTCAGACGGCCAGAGACTCAGACGGCCAGAGACTCAAACGGCCGGAGACTCAATAGTCTCGTTTCCAAGGATTGGATGAGTTGACCCTTTTTGGCCGTGTAGATGAGTTAACGAATAGATGAGTTAACGATTAGATGAGTTGACCCCTTTTTGGCCGTGTAGATGAGTTAACGAATTTTAGCCGTTTAGATGAGTTGAACGTTTTTGGCCGTGTAGATAAGTTAACGAGTAGATGAGTTAACCGGACACGAAAGATTTTCTTTCCTTTCCTTCGTTAAGTAGTTGTGGTTGAATGGATAGTGAGTTAGGTTCCGAGTTTTATTCGGTTATATGGTCGAAAATTATTACAAAAAATCATTAAATAATTGTTTTTCTTTAGAAAATAAATTATAATAAGCATTTTTTAAATAAATAAAGCTGGATAAATTTTTTAAATTGATTAATTTTAGTCTTCTGTGAGTCAAATTTTTCAAAATTTTCGCCTGCGGCGCAAAAAAGGAAGATTTTTGGCTTAAGGATCTTCCAAAATTCTCAAAATTTTCGCCTGCGGCGCAAAAAAGGAAGATTTTTGGCTTAAGGATCTTCCAAAATTCTCAAAATTTTCGCCTGCGGCGCAAAAAGCAAAAGATAATGAGAGGATAAATCCAATATCTCCTATTCTCCCAACTCCCAGACAACCCAAATCCCCTTAATCCAGCTTAATTCCCCGATATCGCCCTTAATGCACACGATAATCCACCCAAATCCCACTTAATCCATTGATACTCCTCTTAATCCTCTGATATCACTCGATATCCCCCTTTATCTACTTAAATCCCCTTATGAAAAATAATTCATTGATTTTCCAGCCGGAGCCCGGAGCCAACATGGAGCGGCTCCGAAAATCGCCGGCTCCGGAGCCGGAGCTGGAGCCGGAGCCAAGATTTTAAAAGGTCGGAGCCCGGAGCCGGAGCCGGAGCCAAGATTTTGAAAACCCGGAGCCCGGAGCCGGAGCCGGAGCCAAGATTTTAAAAGGTCGGAGCCCGGAGCCGGAGCCGGAGCCAAGATTTTGAAAACCCGGAGCCCGGAGCCGGAGCCGGAGCCAAGATTTTCAAACCCCGGAGCCCGGAGCCGGAGCCGGAGCCAACAAATGGCAAATACCCAGCACTGAAATTAATCCTTTGACGTTTATTTTGTTAAAAAATAAAATTAATAGTAAACAAAAATAAAAATATTAAAAACAAGTTCATTACTTAAGCTTAATCTCTACATAAAATGCCAATCTAATTTTAGGTTTAATCCCAAATTTTTTGTTGGAAAGGGAATTAAAGATGAACTTTATAGTTGTACAAAAATGGCACAATAACAAGTCAAAATAAGGGCTAAAGAAATATTCGATGGTATCAGATCAAAACCTGTGAAACGAAATCTGAACAAAATGGGGATTCTAGGCCAGATTCTAGACCGGTCCGGTCTCTTCTAGAGTTGGGCAAAACTCTCTTCCTGTATCCCTAGAGTTTTCAATTTTATTTTAGTTCTAATTCCAAATTTATTGCTGTAAAACTGAATGAACGATATAATTCATGTTTGAACAAAAATGACATCATAATAAGTCCAGGCTAAAGAAATATTCAAAACCTCTTTTTTTCGGAAAATGAAGAAAAAATAAAGAAAATCTGAACGGAAATGGCAAATGAAAACAGTCAAAGTATGATCGAAAGAAATATTCCAGTTTTGTCAATCAAATTAAATACCTAAAAGATCCAAATAAAATTCTTGCCTATCTAACTAAATCAAATACTAAAACTCAACCCTAAAAATAACAAATAAAGAACACAACCAATTTTACAAATTTATTTATTCAGTGAAAAAAAACATCCAAGTAAAATACATACAAAATCATTACAAAAAATAATCAGGAAATACAACAATTGTGAGAAAAAAATCAGACGGGCACAAGAAGTATGTGAATATAAGGGACAAAGAACAATGCCTAGTATATGTACATATATATCAATCACTAATCTCATCCACGTCTTCTCTTGTGCTTCCGTTCCAGTTCTTTGCGCTCCTCCCTTTTCCTCTTGATCAGTTCCTCGTATTCTTTGATGAACGCGTCGACGCCGCCCGCTTTGTCTACCCGGTTCAGTCGGCCTTTTTCCAAAGCAATGTCAATGAGCGCACGATGGAGAAAGAGGTACTGAAAAAGTAAAAAAAATTTTTGGTAAAGCAAGGGGAGCTTTTCAAATTTAAAAGGCACCTGCAAATCAGTCTGGATTGCATGGGCCCTCTGGTCGCGCAGTCGCTGGAATATTGTAGACATTTGCACTTCTCGGTCGTTGGCAATCAGGTCCCTGTAGGCCATCTCGATTGCGGCATATGTCCCCGTACGACCTGTAAAGGGAAAACACCAAAAATTTTAATCTCCCCAATCCCTAAAACTGACCAATTCCAGCACTGCAGTGGATGAGCACAGAGCATTTTCGTGTCACTGCCAACTTTTGGACCGTCCCGCGAAGCTGACGAAACGCTGCTGGTGAAAGTGGTACATCGCGATCCGGCCATCCATCGTAGAGAAAGTGCACGACCTCAACGCTCCGACCGCTCGGAAGTGACGCATCGATAACTGTCCGGTGAACGCTTGGGTTGGCTACGGTAGCATGGGTTGACTCCTTGACAGATACGGTCGTGTTCCCATAAAGCGTTGGCTCGGCAGGGATGTAGTCTGCACACTTCTCACGGCCTTCCTCTTGATTTTGACAGAGCTGGACGATGACCTTAAATAAAATAAGGAGCAGCTTTATAAAGGAAACTAGTTATTTCGAATAACCCACCCCGCAATTCTGCTCCACAATCATCGTCCAGAAGTTGGCAATTGATTCGTCGATCGGACCCTGAGCACAAATCATCGGAAACTCAGAGCCCTTCACCTTTGACGCGTGCACGTAGTCGCTACCTAGAAAAATGAAAATTGTTTTATTTTTAGGAAGAGCGTTGGCACCTTCAGGTCCATCTCTAAGGACAACCCGCGTTTGGTCGATTAGTGCCACATCTGGATACCGGTTGAGATCAGCGTTCCTATCATCATCAAAGGCCTTGGTTGTTACGCGCTTTGACCTGTAGGTTGCGAGATCGTTGACGAACTTTTCACGTATGCGCCTGATGCCACCATGTCGCACTAGAGCTGTAATAATTTAGAAAATGATCATATGTATGATGCGAGCGAAAGAAAAGTCTAGATAAACTCAAAAAACGCACAGTAAAACCAGCGTTGGGCTGCTGTAGCATGCTGCGAGATTGTTGATCCTGTTGATTGAGTAGAGGGCCTACGAGGATCGCCAGAACCACCACCGGAACCACCACGAGACGGACGATCAACAGTTGCACGTGCACTCGGACGCTTGAGGACTGAACTCTGACGCCTGCCACCTTCAGTGTCGTACTTTTGTTTGCTTTGTTTGTTCCTGCCAGATCGCCCTTTCTGTAAATAAAAGAATGAGAAAAGATTAAAAAGTCAGAAGGCGGTAGTAAACAAAAAACTTACACTTGCGGCCATCTTTTGTTGTCGCAGAAGTTGATGTTGAACAGCGTAGAAGTCCACGTGAAGCTGCCAAGTAGTCGATCAAAGCAATTGTGCCAAGTTGTAGACGGGATAGTTGACGATAAACTTCAGTGATTGTCGTTACTTTTATAGTTTTTTCCAACCCTATCACATCTTATCTGAAAGCCCCGTCTATATAAACACCCCAGAAAAATTATCCTCCTTATCAAATTCTCTACCGTCGTTCTACCATAATTGGTTTCGCCATCTAAACAATTAAACTCCACGTTCAAAATGTCTTCCTCTAGCGAACAGGTTCCTGCGCCATCTGGTTCTCCTCCACGTTCGCCCGAAGATGATTCAAAGACGAAGGGGTAAAGCTTTTAATTTTGTTTTGAATTTTGCTTGTTTTATACAGTAATTTACCTACTTTTCAGTAAATATCGGTTCGAGGTTGCAGTGCTCGCCTTGGCTACCATGATCTTTGCTGTTTGCATTCTTCAGGCATTGGCCACTTCTGAGTTCTTCATCGTTCGACTGGCAGTCCTGCCGATGGCTTTGTTCTTGTCCTTCTTTGGATATGAGGCAAGCAATCAAAAACAATAAAAGAACAATTTTTTTAAAAAATTTTCAGTGGGTCACCTACTTCTCTGATGCCTTGACTCGTCGCAAGAGGGCCTACTTTGATGTTAGGAACATTCTAGAGACATACCAGCCGCGGAGAAACACCGATTTGGCTCGCCAATTTAAAGTAACCTGCCCTTTAGTTTACTTAAATTTGTAAAAAAATTTAGCCAGATCCGCCAACTCCAAGCGTTTCGAACCAGCCGACAAAGGTTACTCGTATTACTGCTGATCCCGGCCCGAATGCTGTTGGTGAAATTGGAGGCGGGGCGAAGAAGGACTTTGCTGCTTGGAGGCGTGAGGTGAGAAACAAATGAATTTTGTAACAAAAAAAAATAATTAAAAATTATTAGCACTACGAAAACGAATATGCAGTTGCCATGCAGGCACGTGCTGGACAAGTAAGCCTCTACGAGCCTACCCCTGGCGAGGTTGTCAATGGGACTTCTACGGCTGCAAGCGACAACGAAGGGGGTAGTCCAGTAATTCCTGTTGATAGTATTGAACAATACAAAGCAGCTAAATCGGCTTCGAATGAAAAACGGGCTGAGGGTTCAAAGGATGGCAAAACCGATGAGAAGAAGGAAGAGTCCAAAGAAGAATCAAAGGACAAGGCAAAAGAGGAGGCAAAGCCGGGAGAGGATGAGAAGAAGAAAAAAGAATCTAACGAGCCTTCTAATACGCCGGAAAAGAAATGAAAGGAAGAAGATAAAAAAGGAAATTGTTGATAAATTTGTATGTATAAATATGTAGGATTGTAAATAATATTCTTATTGTTGTAGGTCATAATATAAATATTGTGTTTCATTAATTATTACGGTAAATTATTGTATGTATATTTAATTGTATATTTAATTGTGCCATAAATTGACAATTGACAATTAATTTTAAGACCTAAATTGACAATTAATTTTTTAGACCCTAAATTGACAATTAATTTTACTCATAAAATGGTGTAAACTATGTGATCCCTATAAGTTATTTTTTTAATCTAGTCGTGTTGATAAAATGTTCAAGTAAATTGCTTAAGTTAGAATTTAGATATCTGATTAAAACATGTATTTATATACATGTTTTAATCAGATATCTAAATTCTAACTTAAGCAATTTACTTGAACATTTTATCAACACGACTAGATTAAAAAAATAACTTATAGGGATCACATAGTTTACACCATTTTATGAGTAAAATTAATTGTCAATTTAGGGTGAATTAGGGATTCTATTGCTAGGTTTCATTTCTCGAAGTTTTAAATATTTGTTGACAGCTTAACTCTGAATCTCTTATAATTATCAAAATAAAAATTTCAATTTATATTTAATTTTATTCACATTTTTAATCATTTCGAGATCAATTTAAACACAATTTTTTATTTAACAGAAATATATATTATTTTTATTATCATTTTTTCTTCATATTTTTTTTCTCATTTTTTAGTAATTAACAAGAAAAAGAGGTTCTGTTCTTTTTAATTCCCTCGTTTCTTTTTGTGGGCCAAAAAGCCTTCCATTTCCCCCTCCCAACAATAATTGTCCGTGTGGAGTTCCAATTTTTCGTAAAATGCTTAAATGATGCATTCTTTTACGTCGGGAATGTGTTAAAGAAGATTTTTGATTTTTAGAAGAAATTAAGAGTTGATTTTGTAAAGCTTTGACTGCCTCTTCTGGAAGTGCCATAAATCCTAAAAGACGAACTGGTTGATGTCCTCCACTTTTTTGTTGTTCAGAAAATAATATATTTTCTTCCTCTTCATTTTTCTTTTGATTATTTTCTTTTACTTGATTAATAACTGTTGATAATACAGTTTTTGCACCTTTGGATGAAGCAAATGGCACAAACTAAAATTAATTAAATTAAATTATTTTAATTTAAATTTTGTTCAAGACTATCTAACTAACGTAATTTTAATAATTCTCCCTCTCATAGTTAATTAAGGGATAAAAGGGGGTTACTAGTCGTATTCCTTTTTTACCAAATTTATTTTCACAAATTTTTCAAATTTAAATTTTTTTTATTATTTTTTTAATTTCAAAAAGAATAAAAAATTTTATATAATCTTGTATAACATTTAAAAACCTAAAAAATATTGAACTAATCCTTTTTTATCATCATAAAATTTCTTTTTTTTCTTTGTACTAATTATTATTTAAATATAAATTGCGTCAAATAGAATAATTTTTTATAATTATTTTTTCTTTATTTTTCCCATTATTTGTGTTATTATTTAAAAAATAACAGAAGTAAATTATTGTTATTTTACGTAAATTATAATAGAAAAGTGCGCAACTTTTTTATTATAATTTTTAAATGTTCCGACATTTTTAAAGATTAAAAAATAGGTAAGAGGAAATAGAGAATGTTCTTTTGTATATTTTTTATTGAAAATAATTCTTAAGTTAATGATTTAATTTTAAAAAGGTAAGAGAATTATATATAATTATTTAATTAATCCCAAATTTACAAAGAAGCTATAACCCAGAAAAATATTTTTTTTAATTACAAGAACTAATTTTTAACATAAAATCACTTAGAAAATAATTTTATTTTAAAGCCTTTCATTTATAATAAGAAAATTAATTTTAATTTCTTTCCTTTTTTGTAAAATATAATTTTAATTTTAATATTTTTTAATTTTTCTTTAAAATCATTTAAAAAACACATCATTAACTAGTATATCCCCACCTACTTTTAATCCCTTCTTTATTTTTAACCTTTTCAAAAAATTATTAATTTATATCATTTTTCTGTGAAGGAGGGAGGAGGGAGGGGAATTAAAGTCTTATTTTTATTTTCCTGAAAAAAAATTTTTTTTTTCAAATTATGTAAAATGACATAAAGTATCAGTTAATTTGTTTTTATGAAAAATATTTTTTGTTATTTTTTACTTCCAAAATGATTTCATAAAAAAACAAAAGAATCAAATTGCTACAAAAATATTTAAAAAATAAAAGAAATATTATTATTATTTAAGAAATTTAAGAGAATGAAAGAAAATAAAAAAATTTTGTAAGAAATTTAATTAAAAATAAAAACAATTAAAAGAAAAGGCTACCAAAAATAGAAAACAAAGGAGAGAAGGAGGGGGGCTTTTTCCTATTTTAATTTTTTTATTTTTAGTAAATTAAATAAATAAACAACCGGAAATAGGGAAAAAATATTAATTTTTGGAATTTAAAAAAATAACGGATATAGGAGGATTAATATTATTTTTAAAAGAATTTTTAAAATAATATTTTTCTTCTTTTTTCTTTGTTATTTACCGTTTAAATGTTTTTTAAAAATATTTTAAGTATATTTAAATAAAAATTAATATTTAAATTCTTTGAGAGAATAATATTAAAAATTAAATAAATATCTAATTAATTAATATAATTTTTAAATTAATTTTTTCTGAGATTTAAAGAAGAGAAAAATAAATAGAAAATAAAATTAGGTAGAAAATAGGAAAATAAAAATACCTAATTTATAATTAACTAGCCTTGAAGGACAAATTTTTTATATTTTTACCTAAGCAAAAAATATTATTCTTTTTTTATTTTTTTTCAAAATAACTTCCCACAAAATTAATTAAATATTTAAACAAAAAAAAATTTTAGACAAAGTTTTGAAATAAAAATTTAAAAAAAATTAAAAAAATATGTGGGAGTGTGAACAAAAAAAATAAAAATTAAAAAAAAATATTTTTCAAAAAAAGGTTAATTAAAAAGACTTCCTTTTTTTGTATAAAAATTTTATTTCCATTTATTTTTTTCCATTTTTGTACCCTTTAATAGTTTAAAATATTTTTTTTTAATTTTTACAACAATTTTCCGGTTTGTGCTTTTTTGGGGTTTAATTAATTTTTTAATTATTTTTCTACGTAAATAAATTATTAAATACTCACAGATTTTATAGAAAATGTTTAAAAATAAAATAATAAAATCTGGGCCGTTATACCGTCGATACATCTCATCTTAATTATGATACTTGACAATTTTTATCAACTTAAGACGTTTATACCGTCGATACATCTCATCTTAATTATGATACTTGACAATTTTTATCAACTTAAGACGTTTATACCGTCGATACATCTCATCTTAATTATGATACTTGACAATTTTTATCAACTTAAGACGTTTATACCGTCGATACATCTCATCTTAATTATGATACTTGACAATTTTTATCAACTTAAGACGTTTATACCGTCGATACATCTCATCTTAATTATGATACTTGACAATTTTTATCAACTTAAGACGTTTATACCGTCGATACATCTCATCTTAATTATGATACTTGACAATTTTTATCAACTTAAGACGTTTATACCGTCGATACATCTCATCTTAATTATGATACTTGACAATTTTTATCAACTTAAGACGTTTATACCGTCGATACATCTCATCTTAATTATGATACTTGACAATTTTTATCAACTTAAGACGTTTATACCGTCGATACATCTCATCTTAATTATGATACTTGACAATTTTTATCAACTTAAGACGTTTATACCGTCGATACATCTCATCTTAATTATGATACTTGACAATTTTTATCAACTTAAGACGTTTATACCGTCGATACATCTCATCTTAATTATGATACTTGACAATTTTTATCAACTTAAGACGTTTATACCGTCGATACATCTCATCTTAATTATGATACTTGACAATTTTTATCAACTTAAGACGTTTATACCGTCGATACATCTCATCTTAATTATGATACTTGACAATTTTTATCAACTTAAGACGTTTATACCGTCGATACATCTCATCTTAATTATGATACTTGACAATTTTTATCAACTTAAGACGTTTATACCGTCGATACATCTCATCTTAATTATGATACTTGACAATTTTTATCAACTTAAGACGTTTATACCGTCGATACATCTCATCTTAATTATGATACTCTCACCCATATCAAACAATGAAATATTAACAACTATAAATCAGCAACTCTTTTCTTCTACAAATTTATTAGAATATTCAAAATCAAAATTAGGCAAAGAAAAGCCTTTAATCATTACAAAGGAAGTCCCGTCCCGTACAAAATCTTGCAAAAAGTCCCGTTACGGGATCCCAGGAATGCGATTTTGCCGGACTCTAATAGAAAGGCTTATTTGAGTATGGTCAGAACGCCAACATCGAAATAAATAATTTTTGTAATTTAGGTGGAAATTTTTTAAATTTTATTCATTAATTTCTCCCAAAAAATCACATTTCTTTGGGGTATAAAACCCCGATAACCCCGAAACTTTTCGGGGCTGGGTACGGGGTTTTCGAATTGTTTCGGGTCGGGGAGAATCGTGAAAAATCTTTCGGGAACGGGGTCGTGGTACAGGGTACAACTCTAGAACATTTTAATATAAAAACTTTGTTAGTCTTTTGAATTATTCTCCATTCTCAAATTCTTATTGTTTAATATTATTCTTCTTAGTATTTTTCCTATTCTACTTTTTGGTTATTGTTGTAAATGGCTGGCTTAGAGGAACTTGTAATTTTAAATCTTTAAATTACATGTTTTTTTCTTTTTTTTTAGTTAAACGAGACCAAAACGACTTTAGAAAAGGGTCAAGATACTACACAAATTAGACGCCGTTTAGTTCAGTTCGAAAATGCGCAAAGTAGAAAGAATGCAAATGTCCAATTGAATATTGCAAAATGTTATTTAGAAGAAGCTAAATCAAAAGTTGGCTCTGAAAGGAAAAATAAATTAATTGAAGCTGAAGTGTGGATCAAAAAATCATTGGCTACTTTTGTTTTATTCGATGCATTGGTGACGAAGTCTGTTTAGACTTAAGCTTAAATTTAGTACTAGTGTTGGGTATGGCTCCGGGATGAGCTCCGGAGCAGGCTTAAAGAGCCAGGATTTTTAAATGTCCGAAGACGGGCCAATTAAAAGTCGGAGTCGAGGACATGAATCTATATACCCAACACTGGTTGGCTGCACTCCAGAAAAAGGAGTTTTGCGAAGATTTTTAAGATTTTGTGTCATTGAAACTTTTCCTTCACAGCCCACTTAATAATTTCCTTGCAAACAAGAAAAAAATATATGTATTAATAATTTATTTGTATCGAAAAAGTCCAGAAAAAAGTTCGCAAAACTCCTACGATAGTGCCCCCAAATTTAATTATAGTCATTAGTTTATCTTTAACTTTAAGGGGTAAAATTCTTGGTTTGAAAATTAGTGAAAGTCCTCCACGTTCGCCCGAAGATGATTCAAAGACGAAGGGGTAAAGCTTTTAATTTTGTTTTGAATTTTGCTTGTTTTATACAGTAATTTACCTACTTTTCAGTAAATATCGGTTCGAGGTTGCAGTGCTCGCCTTGGCTACCATGATCTTTGCTGTTTGCATTCTTCAGGCATTGGCCACTTCTGAGTTCTTCATCGTTCGACTGGCAGTCCTGCCGATGGCTTTGTTCTTGTCCTTCTTTGGATATGAGGCAAGCAATCAAAAACAATAAAAGAACAATTTTTTTAAAAAATTTTCAGTGGGTCACCTACTTCTCTGATGCCTTGACTCGTCGCAAGAGGGCCTACTTTGATGTTAGGAACATTCTAGAGACATACCAGCCGCGGAGAAACACCGATTTGGCTCGCCAATTTAAAGTAACCTGCCCTTTAGTTTACTTAAATTTGTAAAAAAATTTAGCCAGATCCGCCAACTCCAAGCGTTTCGAACCAGCCGACAAAGGTTACTCGTATTACTGCTGATCCCGGCCCGAATGCTGTTGGTGAAATTGGAGGCGGGGCGAAGAAGGACTTTGCTGCTTGGAGGCGTGAGGTGAGAAACAAATGAATTTTGTAACAAAAAAAAATAATTAAAAATTATTAGCACTACGAAAACGAATATGCAGTTGCCATGCAGGCACGTGCTGGACAAGTAAGCCTCTACGAGCCTACCCCTGGCGAGGTTGTCAATGGGACTTCTACGGCTGCAAGCGACAACGAAGGGGGTAGTCCAGTAATTCCTGTTGATAGTATTGAACAATACAAAGCAGCTAAATCGGCTTCGAATGAAAAACGGGCTGAGGGTTCAAAGGATGGCAAAACCGATGAGAAGAAGGAAGAGTCCAAAGAAGAATCAAAGGACAAGGCAAAAGAGGAGGCAAAGCCGGGAGAGGATGAGAAGAAGAAAAAAGAATCTAACGAGCCTTCTAATACGCCGGAAAAGAAATGAAAGGAAGAAGATAAAAAAGGAAATTGTTGATAAATTTGTATGTATAAATATGTAGGATTGTAAATAATATTCTTATTGTTGTAGGTCATAATATAAATATTGTGTTTCATTAATTATTACGGTAAATTATTGTATGTATATTTAATTGTGCCATAAATACATGTTTTAATCAGATATCTAAATTCTAACTTAAGCAATTTACTTGAACATTTTATCAACACGACTAGATTAAAAAAATAACTTATAGGGATCACATAGTTTACACCATTTTATGAGTAAAATTAATTGTCAATTTAGGGTGAATTAGGGATTCTATTGCTAGGTTTCATTTCTCGAAGTTTTAAATATTTGTTGACAGCTTAACTCTGAATCTCTTATAATTATCAAAATAAAAATTTCAATTTATATTTAATTTTATTCACATTTTTAATCATTTCGAGATCAATTTAAACACAATTTTTTATTTAACAGAAATATATATTATTTTTATTATCATTTTTTCTTCATATTTTTTTTCTCATTTTTTAGTAATTAACAAGAAAAAGAGGTTCTGTTCTTTTTAATTCCCTCGTTTCTTTTTGTGGGCCAAAAAGCCTTCCATTTCCCCCTCCCAACAATAATTGTCCGTGTGGAGTTCCAATTTTTCGTAAAATGCTTAAATGATGCATTCTTTTACGTCGGGAATGTGTTAAAGAAGATTTTTGATTTTTAGAAGAAATTAAGAGTTGATTTTGTAAAGCTTTGACTGCCTCTTCTGGAAGTGCCATAAATCCTAAAAGACGAACTGGTTGATGTCCTCCACTTTTTTGTTGTTCAGAAAATAATATATTTTCTTCCTCTTCATTTTTCTTTTGATTATTTTCTTTTACTTGATTAATAACTGTTGATAATACAGTTTTTGCACCTTTGGATGAAGCAAATGGCACAAACTAAAATTAATTAAATTAAATTATTTTAATTTAAATTTTGTTCAAGACTATCTAACTAACGTAATTTTAATAATTCTCCCTCTCATAGTTAATTAAGGGATAAAAGGGGGTTACTAGTCGTATTCCTTTTTTACCAAATTTATTTTCACAAATTTTTCAAATTTAAATTTTTTTTATTATTTTTTTAATTTCAAAAAGAATAAAAAATTTTATATAATCTTGTATAACATTTAAAAACCTAAAAAATATTGAACTAATCCTTTTTTATCATCATAAAATTTCTTTTTTTTCTTTGTACTAATTATTATTTAAATATAAATTGCGTCAAATAGAATAATTTTTTATAATTATTTTTTCTTTATTTTTCCCATTATTTGTGTTATTATTTAAAAAATAACAGAAGTAAATTATTGTTATTTTACGTAAATTATAATAGAAAAGTGCGCAACTTTTTTATTATAATTTTTAAATGTTCCGACATTTTTAAAGATTAAAAAATAGGTAAGAGGAAATAGAGAATGTTCTTTTGTATATTTTTTATTGAAAATAATTCTTAAGTTAATGATTTAATTTTAAAAAGGTAAGAGAATTATATATAATTATTTAATTAATCCCAAATTTACAAAGAAGCTATAACCCAGAAAAATATTTTTTTTAATTACAAGAACTAATTTTTAACATAAAATCACTTAGAAAATAATTTTATTTTAAAGCCTTTCATTTATAATAAGAAAATTAATTTTAATTTCTTTCCTTTTTTGTAAAATATAATTTTAATTTTAATATTTTTTAATTTTTCTTTAAAATCATTTAAAAAACACATCATTAACTAGTATATCCCCACCTACTTTTAATCCCTTCTTTATTTTTAACCTTTTCAAAAAATTATTAATTTATATCATTTTTCTGTGAAGGAGGGAGGAGGGAGGGGAATTAAAGTCTTATTTTTATTTTCCTGAAAAAAAATTTTTTTTTTCAAATTATGTAAAATGACATAAAGTATCAGTTAATTTGTTTTTATGAAAAATATTTTTTGTTATTTTTTACTTCCAAAATGATTTCATAAAAAAACAAAAGAATCAAATTGCTACAAAAATATTTAAAAAATAAAAGAAATATTATTATTATTTAAGAAATTTAAGAGAATGAAAGAAAATAAAAAAATTTTGTAAGAAATTTAATTAAAAATAAAAACAATTAAAAGAAAAGGCTACCAAAAATAGAAAACAAAGGAGAGAAGGAGGGGGGCTTTTTCCTATTTTAATTTTTTTATTTTTAGTAAATTAAATAAATAAACAACCGGAAATAGGGAAAAAATATTAATTTTTGGAATTTAAAAAAATAACGGATATAGGAGGATTAATATTATTTTTAAAAGAATTTTTAAAATAATATTTTTCTTCTTTTTTCTTTGTTATTTACCGTTTAAATGTTTTTTAAAAATATTTTAAGTATATTTAAATAAAAATTAATATTTAAATTCTTTGAGAGAATAATATTAAAAATTAAATAAATATCTAATTAATTAATATAATTTTTAAATTAATTTTTTCTGAGATTTAAAGAAGAGAAAAATAAATAGAAAATAAAATTAGGTAGAAAATAGGAAAATAAAAATACCTAATTTATAATTAACTAGCCTTGAAGGACAAATTTTTTATATTTTTACCTAAGCAAAAAATATTATTCTTTTTTTATTTTTTTTCAAAATAACTTCCCACAAAATTAATTAAATATTTAAACAAAAAAAAATTTTAGACAAAGTTTTGAAATAAAAATTTAAAAAAAATTAAAAAAATATGTGGGAGTGTGAACAAAAAAAATAAAAATTAAAAAAAAATATTTTTCAAAAAAAGGTTAATTAAAAAGACTTCCTTTTTTTGTATAAAAATTTTATTTCCATTTATTTTTTTCCATTTTTGTACCCTTTAATAGTTTAAAATATTTTTTTTTAATTTTTACAACAATTTTCCGGTTTGTGCTTTTTTGGGGTTTAATTAATTTTTTAATTATTTTTCTACGTAAATAAATTATTAAATACTCACAGATTTTATAGAAAATGTTTAAAAATAAAATAATAAAATCTGGGCCGTTATACCGTCGATACATCTCATCTTAATTATGATACTTGACAATTTTTATCAACTTAAGACGTTTATACCGTCGATACATCTCATCTTAATTATGATACTTGACAATTTTTATCAACTTAAGACGTTTATACCGTCGATACATCTCATCTTAATTATGATACTTGACAATTTTTATCAACTTAAGACGTTTATACCGTCGATACATCTCATCTTAATTATGATACTTGACATTATTATGATACTTGACATTATGATACTTTTTTAATTATTTTTCTACGTAAATAAATTATTAAATATATTTAAATAATCTATTTATGTAAAAATAATTGTCCTCGAATTTAAACAAAAAGAAATTAAATTTAAATCAGAAAATTAGTGTTAATTATAAATAGAAAAATTAAAATTTTTGGAAAAAAGATTATTAAAGTCTCGAAGAATTAAAAAAGAAAAGATTTAAAAAAATTATAAGAAATTTTAAGAATATAGGGAATATTTGAAGAAAAGGGGTCCTTATAGAAAATTTTTTTTGAAATTAATAATTTTTAAATTTAAAAACAAATATTAAAAATTAATTTTCATAATTTATTTTTATTTATTAATGTTATTATATTTTTGCAAAAAAAATATACTATAATTGTGCATATTTATTTTTGTTATTTTCAAAGGTAAATGCCAAACTTAATGGTTGTTATTGTTTTTTAAATATAAACACAGCCGGACTTCTATTGTAGATACACCCCCACAATATTATTGTAAATATAATTTTTAAAGTTTCAATTGGACATTGTGTGATTAAAATACAAAACAACAAAACCCTCTAGTTAAGTTGTCCTTTAAGGGTGTATTTACAATAAGAGGTCCAATTGTGACATAATAAGTATATTCAAGGTTTATACACAAAATTAGCTCAAATTTAATTTTCCATATTTAGTAATTATTTGTTGCCTTTTTTAAATTTATATTTTATTGTTAATTTCTTAAGCTTAATTTAGCTTTTATTAGATTTGTCATATTTTTATTGGAACGAAAATAAATTTGGAAAGAAATTAAATTTTATTGTTACATACATAATTTTTTATTAAATTAAGGCACAAAACCCCCAACCAAAATTAATAACTAAAAAATTAAAAATAGAATTTTCTGAAAATTCAGGAACCCTTAAAAATTTCTAAAAATTTTTTATTTTCTCCTCAAACCCATAAAACAATAAACAATTAGCCGTTAACTTTCATTTTTCTTCCAAAAAAAGTTATTTTTTATTTATTATTTTATTGCACGCAAATATTTGCGTAATTATAAAAAAAATAATTTTTTTTTATTATTTTTAGGTATTGCGTGATTATTTTATGATACAAGAAAAAAAAAATTAAAAAATAAGATGAATTGAAGGGTTGCAAATTCCCCGACTTTTTCGAAACCTTAAATACCTCTACTGCATATCTAACTCAAAAAATAATTTTTTAAAAACATACCAAATTTCTGTGTGACAAAAGAAATGCTTCAGAATTTTGTTGAATTAAGCAAAAAATTAAAAACAAAAATAACAATCGAAGATTTTTAGAAAATAAATTTGAAGAGGCAATGGAGGCTTTTGAAGATTTTGATGGAGAGGAAGAACATTTTGGGGATGATGAAGAAAGAGGAGAAGAAAATGTTGTTGTTGAAGAAGAGGAAGAGGAACAAGGCACAGAAGAAGAAAATTTGGAATTTTTGTTGTTAGACATTACTTTATTTTATTTTATTTAATAAAGTAAGAAAGAAGAAATAAAATTTATTTTTGAATAAATTTTGAAGAAAATTATATTTTATGTATTTCCTCAATTAATAAAAAAAATTTTGGTTCAGAACAGACTTTTTTTTATTTTCTAGAAAATAAATTTATAAGAAAAAGTATGAGAATTCTTTTATTAAATAAAAAATAACAAAATTAAGGGTTGGGTATTTTTTTGAAATAAAATTATGTTAGATACTGATTTTTGAATATTTCTTGGAATAAAAAAATAATTAAAAGTTTAGTTAACAAAATTAATAAGTTGATAGGAGAAGAGAATTTTGAAAGAATTTTTGGTAATAAATATTGGTTAATTTTCAGAGGAAAATTTTTTGAAAGCTCAAGGATATTGAAAGCCTAATTATTTAATAAAATTCAAATTTTCCTAATCAGTTTAATTATTTTTAGGTAAAATCCCCATCTATTTTTTGTTAAATATATTTTAAAAAAATTCTTAAATAATTTTTAAAAAATAATTAACAGACTTTTTAATTTTTCTTGAAAATAAAATTAAAGGGAAAATAATGGCAAAGCTAATATATCCACTTTATATATAAAAGTATTTTAAGGCCAAGAAAAGAAACAAGAAAGGGAAAGACACTCCTTTTCTAAGTTAGCCCCGCCCCTTTTTTTGAAAATTAAAATGTAGTAGAGATATTATGTCAAAAATGGACATTAAATTGGACAATAAAATTAAAATAAATTAATTTTTTGTTAAAAATTAAAATAAATACGTAAATAAATAAAAATATTTGTTATTATTTTTAAATTTTGCTATATTTAGAAATAAATAAATAAATTTTTTAATTGTTTTTGTTACAAAAATTTATTTAAATTAATTTTTTCTTGGAATTTAAAGTTTTTTTTGGAGAAAAACAAAAACAATTTTGTTTTTTGAGCTTTTAATCTTTCAAGTTTTATTTTTGTAGAAATTTACAAACCTCAAAAATATTTTATTTAAATTTTATTTTCGAGTTTTATTTATTGTTTTAAATTATTTTATTTGACATTTATTTTTAAGAATTAAAGATCAGAAAATCAATTTTCAATTATTTAATTTTTTTGGAAATAAAATAAATTTAATTATTTTTATTAAATTAATTTTTATTTAAAAATGTAAAAATTTAGATAAATTTTAAATTTATTTGATTTTTTTAATTTTAAATTTATTTAAATTTAAGTTAAAAAATGACATAAAAATCTAAAAATAAATTTATTTTTTAAATTAAATTTAAGAAATTATTTTTAAACCATTTTCTAATTTTAGGACAAAAAATCATTTAACTTGATTTTTATATTTTTTTATTTAAATTTTTTGAATAATTTTTATATTGAAAATAAATATTTATTCAAAAAATTTTTTTTAATTTTTATTAAAGTTTTTAAAAACAAATTTACAAAAAGTACATAAATTATTTTTTAAAATTAAAAATATGTAATAAATATTGAAGATTTTATAATTTAATTTTTAAAGAGAAAAATTAAAAGGAAAATAAATTTAAATAAAAAAAATTTCTGCATTAATTTTCAGACAAAAAAATTATTTATTTTTTAATTTTATAAGATTAAATATTAAATCTGTGGAGACGGAAATCCGATTAATTTATTTTTAATTAAAATTATTTATTTGAAAGAGGGTAATAAAATTAAAATAAAATTAAAGACATTTTATTTATTTAATAATTTAAATTTAAAGAAGAAACCTTACAATTTCCAAATAATTAATTATTTAATTATTTATGGAGATTTTATTTTATAATTTAATCTTTAATTATCTAGAATTAAAAAATCTTTTTGGTACAATAAAGATACAATAATTTAGAAGATGATTTTTGTTTTTTTCTGTGTTTTATGTTTTATTGTACTCACATTAGAGCACGAATATAAATGAATAAATAGATAAAAATACAATGATATTTTAAAGCATGTAGCTATTTAATTTCCGAGGCTATGCAGTAGGCGATGAGAATATGCAAGTCAATTGAAGGTTCATTCCCAGACTATTTCTGATTCATTACATTAATTTCTGATTGAAATTGAACAGTAAAGTTTTAATTTATAAAGCTTTTTTTTGTCCAACTCAATCTTTCGAATTTTGAATTTTATTTTTTGATGATTAATCAGGCTACCAGCTAATTATTTAATTATTCAATTTCTCAAATTTACCTTAGAATTAAGAACTAAAAAATTATTTATGAATATTTTAGGGAGTATTCAATTTACTAAAACAAAAATAGTTTTTTAGTACTGTGACCTTTTATAGCTTTTATTCAGTTTTTAATATTATATCTTTTTGTAATTGTAACGAAATTCAATCTTTTTCAAATTCTTTAAAATAAATTTTTAATTTCAGGTTCTTTTTAATATTTTAGATAGTATAAAGTATATTAGTAAATCCACAGAAAATTAAAAACTAGAACAAAAATAATACAAAAAAATATTTTTTAAATCTTTTTGACATTTAAAAAAGTAAAAATGCGTCAAAACTCGAAATTAAAAATTAAAAAAATTTTTGGTAGCACAATAACTACGATTACGTATTAAAATAATCCAAAAAATTTTGCAAAATAATATTTATTTATTTTCTTTTCTTTAGCCAACAGAAATAAAATTATTGGAAACAAAACAATTGAAAAACTTTTTTTATTTTTAGAAATTAAAATAAAGCATTTGAAAAATTAAATAAAATTTAAATTTCCCTTAATTTAAAATTTTTTAATTAAAAAAATTATTATTTTTTATGTTATAATTTAATAAAAATATATTTATGTACATATATTATTTAATTAATAAGCACTTTTATATTTTAATATATTCCTAAAATAGTAACTAATAATAATAATACAGCAAAAGAATAATATATACATCTATCTTTCTTTGTTTTTGTGTTAATAATATTATTTTCTCTAAAAATATAATAATAATTTTATGCAAATTATGTAGTATAGTGATGTCAAAAATACGTAAAAGAATGTGTATTTATTTAATTAATTTTAAATAAAATTTAGAATAAATAGGTATCTAAATATTTAATATGTTTTTGGTTTTGATTAAATAGGTTTATTAAATAGCATAATTCGAGAATGGGAATCTTAATGAAAAATCTAAACATCAAGTTTATATATAGAATTCTTTTTTTATGTTCAATTGAGAGCCTATAAAAATTACTACAAGATATGTTTGGACTCTTATGTGTAAAAAATTTTATATAGAAGTTAAGGTTATTGAAAGTGAATTCAATGGGCCTCCCTTAATTATTAATTTCCACAATTACTTAATTTCACTTCTGTGGCCCTTATTAATTCATTAAAAAAATTTATATATGAGATTTTAATTTATAAACAACACATGAAATTCTGCTTTATTTACAAATAAATATTCAAATAATTTTATTTAGAATATTTTTATCAAAGATTAGCTAGTTACCAATTAAATAAATTTTCAAATAAAATATATTTTTGAAAGTCTCGAATTTATTAATTAAATTATCTTTTTACCTTCATTTTAAGAGGTCTTTTGGCATTTAATAAATTGGTTAAGATACTTTCAATAAAAAATAAAAAAAAATGAAATTTGAGTTAATTTAAGTAAATATATGTATTTATTTATTTATAGTTTTTACTAATTAGAGAAATACACAAAAATAAAAAAAAAAGAAAATTTAAAAGTAACATAAATAAATACAATAATAAAATAGATAGGCAATCTCTTCAGACGTGTACTCACAGATTTTATAGAAAATGTTTAAAAATAAAATAATAAAATCTGGGCCGTTATACCGTCGATACATCTCATCTTAATTATGATACTTGACAATTTTTATCAACTTAAGACGTTTATACCGTCGATACATCTCATCTTAATTATGATACTTGACAATTTTTATCAACTTAAGACGTTTATACCGTCGATACATCTCATCTTAATTATGATACTTGACAATTTTTATCAACTTAAGACGTTTATACCGTCGATACATCTCATCTTAATTATGATACTTGACAATTTTTATCAACTTAAGACGTTTATACCGTCGATACATCTCATCTTAATTATGATACTTGACAATTTTTATCAACTTAAGACGTTTATACCGTCGATACATCTCATCTTAATTATGATACTTGACAATTTTTATCAACTTAAGACGTTTATACCGTCGATACATCTCATCTTAATTATGATACTTGACAATTTTTATCAACTTAAGACGTTTATACCGTCGATACATCTCATCTTAATTATGATACTTGACAATTTTTATCAACTTAAGACGTTTATACCGTCGATACATCTCATCTTAATTATGATACTTGACAATTTTTATCAACTTAAGACGTTTATACCGTCGATACATCTCATCTTAATTATGATACTTGACAATTTTTATCAACTTAAGACGTTTATACCGTCGATACATCTCATCTTAATTATGATACTTGACAATTTTTATCAACTTAAGACGTTTATACCGTCGATACATCTCATCTTAATTATGATACTTGACAATTTTTATCAACTTAAGACGTTTATACCGTCGATACATCTCATCTTAATTATGATACTTGACAATTTTTATCAACTTAAGACGTTTATACCGTCGATACATCTCATCTTAATTATGATACTTGACAATTTTTATCAACTTAAGACGTTTATACCGTCGATACATCTCATCTTTATTATGATACTTGACAATTTTTATCAACTTAAGACGTTTATACCGTCGATACATCTCATCTTAATTATGATACTCTCACCCATATCAAACAATGAAATATTAACAACTATAAATCAGCAACTCTTTTCTTCTACAAATTTATTAGAATATTCAAAATCAAAATTAGGCAAAGAAAAGCCTTTAATCATTACAAAGGAAGTCCCGTCCCGTACAAAATCTTGCAAAAAGTCCCGTTACGGGATCCCAGGAATGCGATTTTGCCGGACTCTAATAGAAAGGCTTATTTGAGTATGGTCAGAACGCCAACATCGAAATAAATAATTTTTGTAATTTAGGTGGAAATTTTTTAAATTTTATTCATTAATTTCTCCCAAAAAATCACATTTCTTTGGGGTATAAAACCCCGATAACCCCGAAACTTTTCGGGGCTGGGTACGGGGTTTTCGAATTGTTTCGGGTCGGGGAGAATCGTGAAAAATCTTTCGGGAACGGGGTCGTGGTACAGGGTACAACTCTAGAACATTTTAATATAAAAACTTTGTTAGTCTTTTGAATTATTCTCCATTCTCAAATTCTTATTGTTTAATATTATTCTTCTTAGTATTTTTCCTATTCTACTTTTTGGTTATTGTTGTAAATGGCTGGCTTAGAGGAACTTGTAATTTTAAATCTTTAAATTACATGTTTTTTTCTTTTTTTTTAGTTAAACGAGACCAAAACGACTTTAGAAAAGGGTCAAGATACTACACAAATTAGACGCCGTTTAGTTCAGTTCGAAAATGCGCAAAGTAGAAAGAATGCAAATGTCCAATTGAATATTGCAAAATGTTATTTAGAAGAAGCTAAATCAAAAGTTGGCTCTGAAAGGAAAAATAAATTAATTGAAGCTGAAGTGTGGATCAAAAAATCATTGGCTACTTTTGTTTTATTCGATGCATTGGTGACGAAGTCTGTTTAGACTTAAGCTTAAATTTAGTACTAGTGTTGGGTATGGCTCCGGGATGAGCTCCGGAGCAGGCTTAAAGAGCCAGGATTTTTAAATGTCCGAAGACGGGCCAATTAAAAGTCGGAGTCGAGGACATGAATACCCAACACTGGTTGGCTGCACTCCAGAAAAAGGAGTTTTGCGAAGATTTTTAAGATTTTGTGTCATTGAAACTTTTCCTTCACAGCCCACTTAATAATTTCCTTGCAAACAAGAAAAAAATATATGTATTAATAATTTATTTGTATCGAAAAAGTCCAGAAAAAAGTTCGCAAAACTCCTACGATAGTGCCCCCAAATTTAATTATAGTCATTAGTTTATCTTTAACTTTAAGGGGTAAAATTCTTGGTTTGAAAATTAGTGAAAGTAAAAATGATTGGGATAATGCACAATGGGCGTTAGAAGCTTATGTAAATTATGTATACCACTAATCTTTATTTAAAATTCATTTTTAGAATACATTACTTGACGCAGAGAAAATTAACAAGGACGACGATGATGTTCTTTTGATGCGTGCAATCATGATGTACTACGCATCGGGAATGAACTGGTTTGAAAGAAATGGAGCAAAAGCGTTTTGCCCTGCTAGTAGAACTTTAATTAACGAGTCAAGTTTTGAGAAGACAATTTCAATTTTGAAAAAGGTTCGAATATTTTTAATTTAAAATAATTTTCTAATTCACAAAATTTCAGTGCAAAACAAATCGCATTGAAAAATACTATTATTTGGCCAAGTAATAATTTATTTTCTCGAGAAGAGAGCACTTCTGTAAAAATTTATTTCGATTGGAAAGCAATAATTTCCCATAAATACTAGGTTGAGTCAGAAATAAGTTTGCATAGCAAAAACAGTTATAGAATTTTTTGTAGATGTTCAAAAGTTTCAGAATGTTCGAAATTCGATTCCTTAATACCTAACCAGAAATTCTCAAATTTTGGATTCTATTAGAAAACTCTCTAAAAAATATATAACCAAAGTTGCATAACATTTAAGCATTAAAAAAATATAACTATTTTCGCAATATGAACTTTTTTATGACTCAACCTAGTAGTAAAAGTGCTTTCTTTCTCTTTTCCTAAAAATTAAACAAAATCTTTTTAATAATTTAGTTGCTACGACAAAATTAAAAACAAAAAGAAGGCCGTTAGATGCTATAATATATTGTTGGAAACTAAAGCAAAGAATCTATTTGAGAGTGTGAGTCATTAATATGTTTAAATGTAAAAAATTTTTTAATTTTATAGGAATTCAAAACCTTAGGAAGAGACGAATTGGAACAGCTTAAAAAGAAATAATTGTATATAATTATAGAAAATGCTTGGTTTTCTTATTAGAACCTAATTTTCTGTTTAGTTGACCTTAATTATTGAAAATTATTCTTTTCCTTTGCAATATTTTTCCTTTGTTTTCGTGTTAATTATAGTGCGTAAAAATAAAATGATAAATTTTAAATGATTCGAAAATGTCTGGTTTTAAGTTTGATTTTAGCAAATCATATAAACACATAAAATTAGGGAATGTTTTAGTCTCAAAATCCAGACTTTTTTTGTAAACTTTTTTGTTGTATCAATCTAAAAAATTAAAAATTTTCTCTTTATAGTTCTTGCTGTTTGGTGTGATTTTTGGCCAATTTTGGCGTGTTTTAATGATTTGAGAATTGACGTTTGTCACGCCACGAGAAAATTTTGGCACACAACCCTGACCTCTTATTTCCCTAGTATTTTTGCCATTAACCACAATTTCATCTGAAGTAACTTTTACAGAATCAACATTCAAATTTAAAAATAAATCACTAAAAATTTTTTCAAAAAAATCGAAATTCAGCCTCAGACATTTTTTAATCAACATAGTACACAGATTCAGTAGCAGAACTGGTTTAACTAAGCTTTCTTCATAGGCTGACGTTAACGACAAATCAAAAATATCCAAACAGGTTCGAACCACAACCTTCTCCGTATAGACACACACCATAACCACTAAACTAAAAACAACTACCTTTCTCTTGTAGAACTAAATAGCTACAACTGTTCCTTTACGTAACGAAGCCCCCAGACACGTGCTAAACAGACTTTTTATTTTTCCATAAACAAATAAATTAATAAGGAAAAATATAAATTTAAAAAGAAAATTAATAAAAATTATTTCAAAGTCTTTCTAGTCTCATTCTGTATTTTTCCAATATTCAGTATTCCTTTAAATTTAAAATTAAAATATATTTAAAAATTACTACTTACATAATACTTTTAGCTTGAATAAATTCTGGGACAGAAAATACAGAAGAGGAGCATTTATTGTTAACTAAATATTGTTGAAATGGGGAAGAATCTTTTAATTTAAATTAATTATTTTTAAAATTAATTAAAAATTCTTTACTATTTCTTTCATCAAAAGCAGTTAATAAATCACTTCCCCCAACATTTTTATTTTTTTTATAAAATTTTTCTTCTCCAAAATTTTTAACAAAACACAAATAACCACACAAAGAAATTAAAATCTTTAAATTAAAAATTTTAAAAAATTTTCAAAAAATCCAAACAAGTAAAAGAATCCCAGCAATACAACACCAAAAAAGCCATTCTTTTGAACGAGAACTAAGTTGGACAGAATTGAAGGAATGAAAGGAATGTTGGTCAATACAGGGCTATTTAAAAGGGAAAAAGGAAATTAAAAAGGAATTAAATATTCAAGTTTATTTTGAAGTTTTTTAAATAAATGTTTTTAAAACTTGATCAAGTTCAGTTTATTTTCCAACTAAATGTAAATTTATTTTTTTAACGTTGCTTTGATAAAGCGCCCATTTTAAAGTTTCAAATTTCTTATTAATTTTTTTTAAACTTTTTTTAATTTAATTTTTAAAATATTTTTAAGTTGGTCAACTAAGTTTAAAGCCCCCTCCCCCTTTAACTATGTCCGATGATCCCGATTTTTTACCAAAAAAATAGGAAACTCTTGGTTGCAGGTTATGTTGCTGTGTCTTAGGATCATAAAAATATATAAATTGAATTTGGATAAAACATTGTTGGATTTTTATAATTATTTAACAAAAGGAGGAGCTCAAAACTTAAGTAATTAAATTGTTTTCTCAGTATTTTCTCAGTCCTTTATTTTAAAATTAATTTAAATATTTTTTAAATTTACTTCAATATTTATAACAGAATTTTTTTCATAAAAATTAGCCAATTGTTCATTTGTTTTTTCTCCAGGAATATTTGTAGAAATTAATTGAATTGTTTTGTTTAAATTAATTATTGAGTCTGTAGTGGAGAATAAATGGAAACAAACAAAAGTTCTTTTAAAAAAATAAAAATTAAATTAAAAATGATGTGATTTTTAGACTGAACAGAAAAAAAAATTATTTTAGACAAAAATTTAAAAAAATAATTAAATTATTATTTAAATAAATTTAAAAAAAAGTACAAAAAATGACGAAAAAATTTACCTAAATTTATTTAATTTTCCAAATTCTCTGACAGGTTCTGAATAAATTATTGAAATTTTTTGATTTTCTGTTGGAATAATTGGTGATTTTAATTTTTGTTTTGATGAAATAATTATTTCTAATTCTTCAATAAATTTATTTAATTTACTACCAATTTGGTGTATAGATTCGTTAAAAAGAAAACGGAGACGGTTTTTATCAGATAAAAAGTGGATCTAAATTAAATTAATTTTTATTTTTTAAAGTAAACTAAGTTTTTATGAATAAAGAAGGGATGGATTGCTAAGCTATTTTTTAGTTTAAGGTACTCCTCGTTATCAAATAAAATATTTTCAACATCAAGAAAGTATATAAAATTGAAATAAAAAAATAAAAATGTCTGAATTTGGTAATATTAGAGTTGTTGGCGACCGGTTATTCTCTCGATTTTAGCCGGTTTGCGCCCGCGGTTTTCGGTTCCGGTTCGGTTAACTGTCCGTCAACAACCCTAATTAATCTCTCTATATTATTTCAAGTTAGGTGATTAAATAACCAAAAAAAGTCTGTCAGAAATTTAAAAATATTTAATTAATATTCTCACTCCTATTTTTGATTTTAAAAATTGCAACTAGGAAAAATAGATTCTAAAAATAAATAATATTTAATTTTAAATTTACATTTTTGTAAAGAATAATTCTCCCCTCCTCCTCTTCTTGTTGTTTTTCTTTCTCTCCCTCATTTTCAGAAATTAACCCAATTTTGTAAAATCCATCTCCTAAAGCGCCCAAAACTGCCGGATCAAAACGAAGTTTTGTGGTGGAAGGATCTACAGCTATTAAACTTTTAATTGGTTCTATATTTCCAATACGTTGTGTTCCTGATATATTCTTCCCATAACTGAAAATTAAAAAAAAATATTTTCTAAAGAAAAGTTTAAGTAAAAAGGAATGTGTTTAGGTGGGCTGTTTACTAAATAGCCTAATATAGAGCTATGAAATTTTGTAACCATCTCATCTAAATTCTAAAAAAAATTTTTATAATGATTTTTCTTTTTTTATTCCAAAAGTTATGGCCACCAAATAAAATTAAATCAACATTTTTTAAGGAAACTAGGACATTTTCTGTTATAATTTTTAAAATTCAAAACCAAAATTTCTCAAATTTTTAGAGAAGCTAAATAACATAATTAACTAGCTCTTTACAAAATTTCATAATTTTAAGTCCCAATCTAGCATTTTTATAACCACCCACGCCAAACCCCTTCAGCGCCCAAAAACACAAAACTAACGGTGTAAATAAAACAGAATTAATTTCAAATAAATTTGTTTTAATTTTATTTAAATTTTCTTCTTCTTCATTTATATTTAAAGGTATTTTTTGTAATTTAGCTAATTTGTGTTCCAAAATTAAATGAGAATTATTTTGTAATAAAATTGTTTTTGGAATTTTTAAATTATTTTTTAAATTAAATTCTGGTGAGGAAGATTCTGGTAATAATTGAATATTAATTATTGATTCTGATGGATAATTCTCTTCAAGATTGTCTTGTTGTTGTTCTTGTTCTTTTGGAGGACTAAAAAATATTTTTTTATTTTAATCAGATTAAAAGATATAGTTGAATTTCTTTCTAGTACTATACCTCCAATAATGTAAACACATCCTCTGTTTAGCGTATGGATTTTAATGGTGTTTGGATTGTGGGGGCTATATGTACCTGCACTTCAATGTCTAACTAACTTTAGTTATGATTTTTTAATCAAGGATGTACACTATAACGATATTTGACTATAACATAATTCCCGATCTCATGAAGGAATTAAAATAATAATTCCAAATGCCAATTTAGAATTTTTAAAAAGTAAAGGGATTTTAACGATTTTTAAAAGGAATAAATTTAAAAAATATTTTCAATTAAAAATAAATTCCCTCAATATCTAAACTAATTTAATACCAATTTTTAATTTCAGTTAATAACCAATGGGCTGGAAATTAATTATCATAAAATTATTGTGCTCATTTTTTGTTAATTAAAAAATTAATTAATTTAATAACCTTGCAAGAATACAAATATTTATACTACTGTAATTATTATTTTTTGGAAATTTTCCAGTTGCAAGTAATTCTCCGCTTTGCTTATCCACTCTTAGTAACGGTGCTGAATTTTCAGCATCGACAAACAGGCTGGATAAATGAGAGCCTAAAAAGAGGGATTTTGGGGGATTTAATGGGTATTTGGAGGGTTTTTTGGATTTTTTGGATTTTAAAAATTTCAAAAAAATTTCAGACTCGAAAAAATTGTCAGGAAAATTTTTTTTAATTTCAAAAAAAATTTTTTTTACATTTTTTCAAAATTTTATATTCAATTAAATTATATGGTTCCGCATCTTCATCCAACGCTTCCACACTTCCCAAAGGAAATTCTCCATCAGAAGAAATATTTACTGTATCGGGCCAATAAATTGTTAATTTACTTAAAGTTGGCTTTAAAAACATTTTTTTATTTTTTTTGTGATTTTTAAAATTTACCGATAAACTGTGAGGGAAATAAGGCAAATGTTCATCTACATTAATTATTTTAATTGGTAATAAAGCTTTGACTCTTTGGCCAGTTTTTGGTGAAAATGCAATTATAATAAACTGAAAAAATAAAAAAAATAAATTTTTAAAAATAAATCCACCTAAATCCTAACAGATTATTTTGAGTAAAAATATGAGAGGGATTACTAAAATTTACAAAAAAAACAAGTATTTATTTATATAATCCTTCAAATATTTGTTTAAAAAAATTGCTCATTTATTTTTATACTAAAAAATAATTTTCTCTAAATTTTTATTTTTTTTCTTATTTAGGTATTTAATAGAAATGAATATTGTTGAACTTTTAATTTAAATTATTTCCTTCTCTCTAAGTTTTCCTGCAGTATATTTCATAAAGAAAATTTAAATATATTACATATCAACCGGAGGTGGGTCGGAAATGACGAAGGTGCCGGGAATCGGAACTGTCTGAAATCGGAAATGGCTCAAAAGTCGGAACTCGGAAATTGGAAATCAAATCATAATTCCGACCCACCTCTGATATCCGCCTACAGAACTCTATATAGATGTATATTCCTAAAAGTCTAATATAGAAAATATAAATTTTAGTATCCTAGTATTGAGTCAAGTATCAGGAGAGGTAGGTAATTTAGAGACAAGAAACGACAATATTTCGTTAAATCAAATTTTAGGAATCTCCTAAAAAATTAAAAATTAATTTCTTTTTTAAGAAACAAAACAATTATAAACTAAAAGAAAATGAATATTCAACAATTAGAGCAACAAATAGATTCAACAATTTACTCGCTCAAACAAAAATTTACAAGAAATAATTTAAAAACTATCGGGCATTCAATGCCTTGTTCAGCAACAACTTCCCCTATCCCTCCACAAAGATTTAACAGAACAAATTCTTTAAAATCAATTAAATCAAAAAATTCTTTTAAAAAATTATTTTTAAAAAATCAAAAGGAAGAAGAAGAAAATAATATTTGGACAGCCCCAGTTTCCCCTCAATTAGAACAAAGAAATATTGTTACCCCCACAATACCTA